TTTTTTTCCCTTTCCCAGGTCCCAGGTCCCTGTGAAAGGACTTGGACTTGGGTAAGGAGTAATAAAGGACACAATCACAATATCATAATATCGCGATATCTTGTCATAATATAGATATTCATATAGCGACAAAAAATATTGCGATTCACTGGTGCATCGGTGTATCGTTGCAGCACTAGCAAATAAGTTGCCCCCTACTTATCACAATGGAGTTCACTAATCCTGACTAATAACAAATTCATCTCTGGCCTTTAGTTATTACTGCTACTACTTCAATCTATTATCCAACTGCTACTGCAAAACATTTTGACAGGGCTGAGATAGGGAAGGGTAGGGTATTCGTAAGGAAGACTGAGATAAGGCAGAGTACAAAGGGCAAGTTAGAGAGGGGTAGGGAAGAGAAGAGTTGGGTAGATCTGGATGTGGAAAGAACAAGGTACACCAAAGGCTCAGTGGAAAGGTTGAAGAATTTTATATTACAATGTAGCTGTCCAATTTGACAAAGTTGATTATTCTCATGCTCACAGAAAAAAGGGATCATGTTTATGGGAGGTAGTGTTGGCTGACACTAATGACTGATATATCGACCAACACTTAGTCTGTCGGCCATGTATCAGTCAACACTTGGGTGATACCAGTGTCAGTTGATATATCAAGTGTCAGTTAATATATCAAGTGTCGGTTGATATATCAAGTATCAGTTGATATATCAATCGATAGTGTCGACTGACACTACCTATAGTAAACATGATCCAAAAAAAGTGTCCACATTGTAACCCATACCTTGCCTTCGCCTCTTGCATAAATACTTCCCAAGGTCTCTTGCGGTGGCTTTCCACGCACATCAACATGATTGACCTGATTTAACTTTGTCCTTTTCTCCTGATAATGAGCACTTTCCTCCCAAGAATTGACATCAGCTACATCATCTTTATGGCGAGCGAGTGTAGACTTGACATTTGCCATGATTCCAAACTGAGCAATTTTAGAATCAGGTGGAAACTTGATATAGTCATACAGTTCATGCCAATCTGCTCCCTTTGGTAAGGGAAATGTCATTTCTCTTGGCAAGGGACTTACACCTTGGTCCAGCAAGCCTAACTTTCTGGCTTCAGAAGCAGATATCCCAGGCATATAATCTATATCACTCGTGAAGAGTCCTTTAAGAAACATGTTGGCACAGAAGCGCATGGTCTTCATGTATGCATACTGACGGTTTAAGTAAACAGAGAGGATGTATCGGAAGTCTAGTACCAAAACAGTCCAACG